GGGGCGGGGGCAAGCAGAGCACGCCAAGGCCAGGTTTTGTTTCCCTCTGCCTGCGGTGGGGTGCGGCGCGAAACCACACACTCGCACCAGTCCCACACCAACCCCCACACCAACCCCCACACCGACCCTACACCTTGATGGACTCGACCAGACACCCCAAACCCCAGGCCGTGCATCAGAACCCAACATCTGCACCAGGCCACGCCCCAGTCCGTGCACCATGTATTTGTGGGTTTCGCCCCAGATCCCCAAAACTTGTTTTAAGCATACCAGGAGTTTTTCAAGGTTTAGGGTTTAAGCTACCATAATGACGAAACCATATTATTTACCATAGACCCCTAATCTGGCAACTTACACTCAGCTCCTTCATCACAGTTCGTCTTTCCTTGCAGGCACCAGTCCTCATCCTTCCTACCATCCCACCTCGCCCGATGCAATAGCCTACGGACACTGCGCTCGGTGATGGCCCCGCCGCACAAGAGCCCGGGAGGAGCAAGCTGGGAGAGTTGACTGGGCTCCTGCTAAGGAACTTGCCTAACCAAGCTCCAAACTCTAACCTAGACCCTGAACATCCCTGAACCCACACTCCAAAACCTGACACCCAAACCTACACTCTAAACCCTAAACTCGAAACCAAGAGACCCTAAACCCAAAAGCCAAAGCCTAAACCCTAAACGTAAACACTCCCAGAGACTCCAATATCCCTTAATTAAGGAATATTCCTTAAATCATATTGAGGATCCTACTATAATTTGAGGAATATTCCTTAATTAAGGGGCATTGGAGGCTCTAGGCTCGAAACCTGTAGGCCTCAAAAGGTGGGATGAAGGTAGGATTCGCATTTGGGGATTACCCCACCTACCTTCATCCTACCTTTCGAGACCCTGAACCCTAGACCCTAAACCCCTAAACCCTAAACCCTCAACTCGTAAATCCCAAACCCTGAAACCTAGAGAGCTGGTGCCTTGACGCCTTTCGCCGACAGCTGCTTCAGCTTGTCGGCCACAGTGGGAGGAAGTCGCAACTGCCCGTCATGCGCAAGTTTCGGGGTGGGGTTTAGGGTTTAGTGTGTAGGGTTTAAGGTTTAGGGTTAAGGGTTTAGGGTGCCGGGTTTAGGGCCTCGTTGCATCGTACGGAATGGCCTCTGCCCAAGGGCATACTACAGCATACTTTGGATAAATAAAGAGCGCTATTCATACTATTCTTTGTTTAGGGCACTGCATTCATCAAGACTCGGGACCCCTACAGGACCCTAATACAGATCTCACCAGTGCTCACTACCGTATCCAAGAATTTTATTTCCAGCCGAAAAATCTATTATGTGTGCAAAGCCCGGAAACACCCTATCATAGATCCCTTGCGGAACCCTTTAAGGGAACCCTACTCTAATTATCAAAGCCCCTATACCCCAAGGGTCCAAGTACCCAGAGACTCCAATATCCCTTAATTAAGGAATATTCCTTTAATCATATTATTAAGGATCCTACTTTAATTTAAGGAATATTCCTTAATTAAGGGGTATTGGAGTCTCTTGGTATATACTGTGTAAAACACAAAGAAACCTAAGATCGGCGCAGTCGTTTCCCAGAGACTCCAATATCATTAATTTCCTTAACCCCACGTAACCTACCTTTTTAAGGACTTATATAAAGAAATCATATTAGGGAACCCTAAAAAGGTAGGTTCCTTAGGGTCCAGGTAAGGAATATTCTTAAATCAGGTTTGGGATCCCCACTAAAATTTGAGGTTTAGTCCTTAATCAATGGGTTTTGGAGTCTCTGGGTTCCAATTGTCTGTCATATATGTGCCGCCATATCGTAGAGTAGTTCCCTGCTTCTCCACTCTGTTTACGGCCACCAAGTCTTTGGCCAGAGCCCACAGCCTCCGAAACCCCTTGATTAAGGAATGTTCCTTAAATCAGGATCCCGAATATGATCCAGGGAATATTAAACGGATATACCTTAAATTCCCATAGAATCCCTAATATGATTTAGGGAATATTCCGTAACTTACAATAGGATCCCTAATATGATTTAAGGAATATTCCGTAAATTATAATAGGATCCCTAATATGATTTAGGGAATAGTCCGTAAATTATAATAGGATCCCTAGTTTGATTCAGGGAATATTCCTTAAGTTTTTATAGGTCCCCTAAAAAGATTTAGAACATATATCCTGAATCCAGGGATATTGGAGTCTCTGGGAGGCTTCCGAGGAGGAGGCTGTGAGTCCTCTAATTCTTCATGGCTTTTGGGTGTAAGGCCTAGGGGGCCTAGGGTATAGAAGGTTTAGGGTTTAGGGTTTTAGGGTTTAGGGGTTTAGGGTTTAGGGGTTTAGGGTTTAGGGGTTTAGGGTTTAGGGGTTTAGGGTTTAGGGGTTTAGGGGTTTGGGGGTTTAGGGTTTAGGGGTTTAGGGTTTAGGGTTTAGGGTCGTTGACATTCCTTAACAAGAACCCTATAGTATAAATAATAGGGTTTCCTGCTAATGGTAACTAAATTTAAATGACCCTACGCCCTAAACCCCAAAGCTTAAACCCTAACCCCAAGGGTCCAAAGGACCCAATAATCAGGTACTTTTAGGATAGCAGTTTATGTAGGTTAGGATTTTGGAGAGTCTATGATTATTGGGTATTTGGACCATTGGGGTATAGGGGAATTGACAATTAGAATAAGGCTCCTTTTGAGGGTTCCTTTTTAAAGGGTTCTGTAAGGGATCTGTAATCGGGTTCCATAACAAGGAGTTGCATGATGCTCCACAAGAGAAAATGTCTGCAGACTCCAGCCAAACTACAATAGCAAGCCCAACATTGAGATTAGGTCAGCATTCGGGGCGTGTGGCCTCGAGACGGGTGAAGGCTAGGTCTGCACATTACGAAGCACACGAGCGTAATCCTATGAGCGTGTACGGTAAGTCTTAGGCTGTATTGCTCCTTATTATGGAACCCGATTACAGATCCCTTACAGAACCCTTTAAAAAGGAACCCTCAAAAGGAGCCTTATTCTAATTATCAATTCCCCTATACCCCAATGGTCCAAATACAGCAAGCTGGATGTCGGGTGGGTAGGTGGGGAGGGAACCTAGGTAGGAAACACTCGGCTGCATGAGGACGACTTTCGATGCCACCTTAAACCTACTCCCCCAATAAGCCACGGAAATAGAAGGTTAAACTTTCCGATTCTTACGAAACTACAAGAACCCAAAAAGTTCAAAGGTTGGGTACTGGGGAGCTAAGTAAACCTCCAAACCCCCCTAAACCCTAAACAACAAACAAACGTAGACTCCGAAACTTCGTGATTAAGGATAACCCGTAAATCCTATTAAGGATCCTACTATCCTTAGGCATCTAAAGACTCATATATTAAGGCTTTTGGGCTATTTTGATGCCCAGGGTATGATTTAAAGGTATGGTCCTTGATTCCTCAATTAAGGGGTCCTGGAGTCTCTAGCTGCTTGTCACCGAGTTGACACCGCTTTTGGGTCTAGGGGCTTTAGGTGCAGTTTAGGGGTATCACCGCCTTAGGGCTGCAAGGCTTTAGGATGTAGGGTTTAGGACCGTGCAGGGAGCTTGGGGCCTGCGGCCTGGGTGGCAGTGCTTGGATGATGATATAAATCCTGCATTACCCATAATAAGGAATATACCATAATTCCCATAGTTTAGGGCCCTTAAGGTCATGCAGGATTTATATCATCAACCCTAAACCCTACACCCTATAGATCCCTTAAAGGAACCCCTTAAAGATACCCCTGTAGATCCCTTTAAAGGAACCCTAGGGATTTATATCATCAACCGAAGTAACTTTGATCTACAGGGGTTCCGGGTTTGGGGTCGAGGGCTCGGGTGTTGGGTTGCGGCGTTTACTTAGAGGTTGGGGGGGGGCTTGGTAAGTAGGTTATAAGTAGAGTTATGTCCCTTAAATGGGCGTTTACTTAGAGGTTGGCGGGGGGCTTAGTAAGTAGGTTATAAGTAGAGTTATAAGTGCCCTAAATGGAGTTACACCAATTCTAACCCTACTTATCACTGACTTACTAAGTCCCCTGGGCCTCTAAGTAGGGTTTAAAGCATCTATACTTGTCCTCTTGCTAGGCATGACTGTAGTTGGGGCTTCATATCTGTCCTGGATCACCTCGTATGACTGTATAACCCTTGTTGGGGGAGCTTCTGGGAACAGAACAGTTGGGTAAGAACAACAATCACCAAGGTTGGCGCCGTATTAAAGCCCAAGCGCGGTGCTGCGAGTTTCGGTTGTTCAACTTGCCGCCTGGGGCCTTGGGGTCTTTTGGTCAGAGTTTAATTACAGTAAGGCTTGGGGTTTATGGTTTAGGGAAAAGTGTCGGGTAATTATGACTCCCGGGGCGAGGACCCCTTCCTGCAGCAATTACCCTTTTTGAGCTCCACTTGCCATCATCAGTCTTTCAAAGCTGGGTTTGGCGTCTCGACACAGCGTGGCAACGTTCCCGTCGGTCTGCACACACCTACAAACTCAACCCTGAACATTGAAACCCTGAGCGGGAGTTTATCTCTTAGGGGTTGAGCACCCTGGCCCAAAACAGGTTAAACTTTTGAACTATAGTAGCATCATATAAGCCCCGAAAGGTTAAAGGTTACCTACTCGGCCCCTAGAATCTTGTACCGCCCAACATCCAAGGAGCTCAGACTCTCTGAACCCTGGACCCTAAACTCTTTCGCAAACCCAAACTCGAACCCGCCGTTCGAACGTATATTGCATGGGAACGCCATAAAATGGCAACTTCGCACAGAGGACTCCGTCCATCCGTCAATAGCCGCATTGATCGACCTCCTTGTGAGGGTTTGAAACGCTGTGCAGCCGAGGAGCTAAAGTTGAGGACTACTATAGGGGCCTGAATGATTAGAGTCGGCTGTTGGTGTATGTTAACTATAATTACGATAAGCATAAGGGAAAAGCTATAGCAAGTAAGGACTGGGGTATGTTCTACAAGATTTCGGACCAGGCCCCTATGCTACTGCTCAGGCCCGCTGTCATTTGGCAAGGGCACATGGGGCCTCTTCGATGGCCTTCATGCCAGACTCCGTTCGCAAGGCTGCCATGTTCTCCAGCCTGGACTCTGCTTTGGGAACTTAAGGGTTTACTGTAAACTACCAAACCCTACGTTTTGTAGGTCCTTATTATAGACCCTCATATGGAAAATATAAAGACCCTGCAAAAAAATTGGGTTTTGGTAGTTTAAGGTAGGGTTTCAGCCCCCCCAATGGCCCTTTAATAGAGCCCTTGTGGACCTGACTCTGTTCGCAAGGCTGCCATGTTTTCGAGCCTGGTCTCTTCTTAGAGAACTCAAGGTGTAGGGTGTTTCGGGCTTAAGGTGTTGGGGGAGTTTAGGGTGTTTAGGGCTTAGGATCCCCCAAACGGCCCTTTAATAGAGTCCTTATGGACCTGAAGAGTGGATTTTTGGGGGCGTATTAGAGGGGAGTTGGGGGGATCTAGGTTGTTAGGCGGCTTAGGCTAAGTTGACAAAATAAGGGACACCAATCCTTGCCATAGATGCCGACAACGGTAGCTTCAAAACGTCCTAAACTAAATGATGATCCGAAGCCCCGAACCCTAAACCCTCTACACCCTAAACTTTCCTTAAACCATTTACTTGGAGGCCCGGCGGACTTTGTAAGTCGGTTATAAGTAGGGTTAGAATTGGGGTAACTCCATTTAGGGCACTTAAAAACTCTACTCATAACCTACTTACAAAGCCCCCTGGCCCTCTAAGTATGGTAACATAACGTAATTAGGCACCTTAACAAGAACCCATGAGCAGCTCTACTAATTACCAAGAACCCTTAGCAACACTCAAAGAACTCCTATACAACCGCAGCAGACACCCTATGAATAGGAAGCCAGGAGCTGCTTCGTGGACGCAGAACTCCAACAATCCTAAATGCGAATCCCGCACGAGCACTCAACAAATCCCTAAACCCTATCCGAAACCTCAGACGTGGTGCCAGGAACTGTAACTGACCCTAAACCCTAAACCCCTAAACCCCTAACCCCTAAACCCTAAGCCCTAAACCCCTAAACCCTAAACCCCTAAACCCCTAAACCCCTAAACCCTAAACCCTGTATCTGCTTCATGGCATCCATCTCTAAACCCTAGCCGAAACCCTGAACTCGAAACGTTATGATGGCACCAAGTACCTCAAACAAAAGCCCCTAAACAAAAGCCATAAGGAATTGGGATGATTATCCCAGCAGCTGCTTCATAGATCCATCCCTAAACCCTCAATCCTAAACCCTCCCTAACAAAACCCTACAAAATCCCTATACACCCCCTACAGAATCCGTTTTTCTTGGATCCGTTGGATATCCCCAGACCTAAGAGTAGCCTGGGAATAAAAATGGTGCCCTTTTCGGTTTCAAGGGGGGTTATAAGGGAACCAAAACCCTCAAAACGGGAATAAGGTACTCTGGGCCCTAGCTTAATTAGGGAATGTGCTTTAAGTTATCGTAGGATCCGAAATACAATTCGGGCCCCTAACAAAATCCAGGAGCTGCTTCATCGATCCATCAACCCTATACCCTAAACTGTCTAGATCCCTTAAAGGAACGCTTACCCCTTAGAACCCTACACTTAGCGTCCCTAAACCCTAAACCCTAAACCCTAAACCCGAAACCCTAAACCCGAAACCCTAAACCCTAAACCCTAAACCCTAAACCCTAAACCCTAAACCCTAAACCCTAAACCGATCCCAGGAGCTGCTTCATCGATCCCAGCTCCAGGACCCCCGATCGCAGGGGCACGAAAGCGGCTGAGCGGATGTTGAAGGTCTTCGCCATGTCCGCGCGCAGGAAGTTCACCTGGGTGTAGGGTGTGGGGTTTAGGGGTTTAAGGGTTTAGGGGTTTAGGGTTTAGGGTTTAGGGGTTTAGGGTTTTAGGGTGTAGGGTTTAAGGGTTTAGGGGTTTAGGGTTTAGGGTTTAAGGGTTTAGGGGTTTAGGGTTTTAGGGTTTAGGGTTTAAGGGTTTAGGGTTTTAGGGTTTAGGGTTTAAGGGTTTAGGGGTTTAGGGTTTTAGGGTTTAGGGTTTAAGGGTTTAGGGGTTTAGGGTTTTAGGGTTTAGGGTTTAAGGGTTTAGGGTTTAGGGTTTAAGGGTTTAAGGGTTTAGGGGTTTAGGGTTTTAGGGTTTAGGGTTTAAGGGTTTAGGGGTTTAGGGTTTTAGGGTTTAGGGTTTAAGGGTTTAGGGTTTAGGGTTTAAGGGTTTAGGGGTTTAGGGTTTTAGGGTTTAGGGTTTAAGGGTTTAGGGTTCACCTGGGCTCTTGCTTATGATGAAACTTCTACTAAGGGTTCCTGTAAAGGGATCTGAAAGGGTTCTATAAAGGGCTTAAGGTTGTTTATGATGAAATTCATGCTACCAACTGGAGCCCAGGCACCTGGTTGCCGCTGAACATGTCATCGCGGAGGCCCTGTTCGGTGATCTGCTGCACGTCCTTTACCTTAGGCACTCAGAACCACAATCAACATACTATCCGTCTAAGACTCTCTTGCAGCTTAACTATACTAAAACATGATAGGAAAATATTGCAGTAAAAAAAGTCGTTGTCAAAAATCAATAACACATGAAAGTACAATATGGCAGTAGAAATCGCTAAAAAAAAGTCCTGAGTACGCCGAAGGTACGAAGAGCTCCTTCCCAGCCTGGAACACCTGGCCAACGACTCCCTCGCCCGGCTGGAAAGTCAAAGCCTTGCAGGGCTGGAGCGGGGGTCTTCGCAGAGAGCCCAATACCCCTTAATTAAGGAATATAGCTTAAATCATAATATGAATCCTTATGTAAGTTAAGCCATATTCCTTAAGGGCTCCAGCGGGGGTCTTGTTTACAGCCCTTAGAGCTGTCAGACCATCATTTAGGGTTCCTCTTTGCGGTTTAGGGTTCCTTTAAAAGGGATCTATAAGGGTTCCTTTAAAGGGATCTATGAGGGTTCTATAAAGGATTTAGGGGTTAGGGTTTAAGGGTTTAGGGTTTGGGAGTTTAGGGTTGAGGGGTTCAGGGTTCAGGGTTTTCATGATGTGTGGCACTCAACGATCAGTCTAAACACATGTTTGAACACCTGTTCACAAACTTTGGGGATGTGGGGCACGCCAGGAACAGTTTGAACTTATGCCTGCATATATTCGGGATGTGAGCACACATGGAACAGAGTCAACACATGTTTGGACATATTCGGGATGAGGGGCACTTAAGGACAAAAAAAAAACAATTTAAACAACAGTCTATACACATGCTCAACCACCGGATTAAACATATTCGGCATTTGTGACACTCGAGGAACAGTTTCAACACAAGTTTATACACCGGTGTAAACACTTTTGGGATGTGGAGCACACAAGGAACAGTTCAACCACCGGCTCAAAGATATTCCGGATGTGGGGCACTCAAGCAACAGTTTAAGCACATGTTCAAACACAAGTTAGAATACTCGGGATTTGTAGCACTCAAAGACCATTCAACAAGTTGAACACCGGTCAGGGATGATCGGCATATGATGCACTCAGGGAACAGCTTAAACACACGTTTTAAACACGGGTTTTGACATATTCGGAACCTGTATATGTCAGTCAAGGAACAAGTTAGCTACCGGTCTAATCAAATGCCGGACATGGGACACTCAAGGAACAGTTCAAACACTGACATGCGTAAACACCAGCTTAAGCACAGTCGGAATGTGTGGCACTCAGAAGACAGTCTAAGCACAGATTTGACCACCGGCTGAAACATATTCGGGATGTGGGGCAGTCCTGGACAGTTCAAGCGCACGTTTAAACACCGGTCTGAGCATGTGCAGGACGAGGGGCACTCAAGGACCTGGACCTATCTAAGCACACGGTTTGATGTCGGTGCAAAATATCCGGGCTTCGGGTTACCACGCAACAGTTTAAACACATGCTTACATACCGGGTTCATTGAAACGAATCGGGATGTGGGGCACTCGTGGAACAGCGTAACACATGTTTAAACACCGGTTCAAATATGCTCGGGATGCGCTTGATATAATATAGGGGCCTCAATAACTAGAATAGGGTTTTGGGGCCGTTAAACCTATACTATACTTATAATACGGAACCCCCAAATCAGCATAAGTAATTATTTCGGCCCCTATAGTACACGTTCAATTGAACGTGCTCGCCCTGGCCTGCTGGCACAAGTGCGTTTAAGTATGTTTAAACGCCCTTCCTGGCATTAAACCTTAGCTTAAGCTGTGTAGCGGTAGCGCAACGACACTTGTAAAAGACACACAAACAAACATCCGCAGATTTGCCAAAGATGCTTAAACACGTTTATGTTTCTAAACCGCTCGAACTTGATGTTGGAACCTGATGAGGAAACTCTGGCCATATAACCCTGCAACCCATATAAAGAACCCTATTAACCTACTTGTCGGATATCATGGGGAACTAACGGTTAACCGTTTTGGTTATGTACGGAATATATGGGGACTATACTACCCAAAAAAGGTTAAAGGTTACCTACTCTACCACTAGGTTAAAGACCCAGGATTCCTTCATCAGGTTCCTACCTTCAAAGTGTTCAAAACGACCCCTACTGAGCCTTGGAGGAGCTGGTGTAGAGGCCGGGTAGGCCTGCTTGAGATGCATATTGCACACCTGGACTTTGAAGTAACCAGGGAGCAAAGAGGTATAGAATAGTATAGACTTTGTTTCAGTCTGGCTCCTATGAGAGCCAGGACTCTTATTCCACAATGGTTCCTTTCTAGAACAGGTCTAGAAACAAGTATTCAGGTATGGTACATCAGACAGAAAACTGGTATTCAGTTTTAATAGGGCTTCCTAAAAATCTCTATAATTCCTAAACCGTAAACCCACCACCCCCCCCCCCACAAAAAAAAAAAAGTACTCCACAACCCAGACACGCCAAGCCGGATTGTAGCTCTCGTTCACCTTCAGCGCGCCCTCACCTGGGCTTTTTGGCCAAGGAGCTTTACTTACTTTAGTAGTTCAGAGAGTTTCCTTTGATGGAACTTCACTTACTTTTCGTAATTCAGAGAGTTTCCTCAATAAAGGAAGCTTTAACTAATTTTACCATCATGGGCATCTATAAAGTAAATCAAGCAGTTTCCTGCTGTACTGCTGATGGACAAAATCCTGCATGAGCCGAAGGACTCTAAACTATGGGAACTATGGTATATTCCTTATAATGGGTAATGCAGGATTTTGTCCATCAACAGTATGGTAGTTTGACTTAAGAACCTTAATACCACCCGGGTCACTGCCCATGGTCCACTCGATGGCGTAGCAGGCCTCAGGGCAACCTGGGATTCTTAAACGGTTTAGGGTTTAGGTTAGGTACGGCCCGCATGCAGTAAGAGTCTATAATAGGGCTACTATTAAGGTCCCACCATATCTATATTATGAATATTATTGAACTATTACTGAGTGGGGGCCGTACCTAAGGTTTAGGGTTTAGGGTGTATCAAAAAGGAAAAGGAGGGACCCTTAATGGTGACCCCTACCCTATAATGGGCTATATAGAGGGTATATAGTAGCTATATTAAGGGTATATACCTAGGGGTCCCTCCTTTTACCCTTTGAGTGTAGGAACCAGATTCAGAAACCTTGGGCCTCAGGAGTCCGTGCATGAATCCTACAGTTTTGGGGCTATAGGCCCAGGGCTTCTTAACCAGGTTCCTACATTACGCCCTAAACCGCAAACTGTACCCCTGACCCCTGAACTCTAAACCCTGTCGGTCCCTTATCAAACACTTACGAGGAACCCTAATGAAACCCTTGAAGATCCCCACTTTGGATACATCAACCCCTCTAAGCCCCAAGATTCTATGTTGAATACAGTAATTTACACCCTTATATTAAATCAACTGCCTCAGGGCAACTCGCGGCCACCTTCTCCAGCCAGGGCGCGCAAGGCGGGAGCTCTACTACAGCGGGCTTCACCTCCGGCATATCCCTACTAAACGCCACTGAACCCTACTAAGCCCGACGAACCCCGACTAAACCCTACGAAACCCTACTAAACTCTACTAAACGGTACTGAACCCTACTAAACCCTACTAAACTCTACTGAACCCTACTAAACCCCACTAAACCTTACGAAACTCTACCAAACTTAACTAAACCATACTGAACCCGACAAAAGCCTCAGCCCTAAACCCAAAGCCCTGAACCCTAAACCCTAAACCCCGGAGCAGTGAATCCTAAACCCTAGGCCCGAAATCCTCAACCCCTACTTGGAGGATCATGGGACTTAGTCAGTAAGGTTATAAGTACGTTAATTGGGGTTATAAGTAGTTATAAGTATAGTTACCCTAATTATAGCGCTAGTTACTAACTCCCATGATCCTTTAAGCAAGCCCCTCAAAGCCTAAACCCCTAAACCCGACCTCTGGGACGGGACCTCCCTCAGAGATCACCTTGACCAATGCCGGGACGATGAGGTCACCAGGCCCTGCTACCTCGATGTTTCGCGACTTTTGTCCTAGGGTTTCGTGTAGGATCTTTGTTTATAGGCTCCTTTAAGGGAAGGGTTTGGGGCGTCGGTTTTGGGTTTGGAGGTTTTGTAAGGGCTCAGGGCTTTGTCAAGCTCCTGTTGGGGCTTAAGGGTTGGGGTTCACGGTCTAGGGGCTGGGGCTTGGGGTTTAGGGTTCAGGGGTTGAGGTACAGGTTGGGCCTTACCGTTTTTTTTGGGTTACCATAAGAAGCAAACTCTATTATCTACTACAGATTCACTTCTGTCTATGTGGAGAACTTAAGTTAAACTACCATATTAAGCAAATCCGAACATTTACTACGAAACCCTGTTAGTAGTAACTTTAGTCCAGTTCCTTAACCTTAAACCTCAAGCCCTATAAAGCCCTAAACCCTAAACCTAGAGACTCCAATACCCCTCAATTAAGGAATATTCCTTGAATTATAGTAGGATCCTTAATATGATTTAAGGATTTTCCTTAATTAAGGGATATTGGAGTCTCTGGGAACCCTAACAAGATCCCTGGCACCTCGAGCATGGCGCCAACCTCAATGACTCCGGTCTTCGTGGGCACGAAGATGGCGGAATGGATGCCATACTCAACCTGGGTTTAGGGTTTAGGGTTTAGGAACTTAGTTTAAGTAACCATAATAAGAATTTATGGTTAATACTATGGTTTCCTGATGATTTAAGTTACCATAATCGGGATTTATAGTAAATAAAATGGCTTCCTGATTGTGTTAACTTAAACTACATCCCGCAAATACTAGGGGTTCCTTGTTATGGCAACTTAAACTGAAATCCCTTACCTTGAACTACCAAACCCTGCTTTTTGTAGGTTCTTCTAATAAACCCGAATATGGAATTTATAGGGGGCCCTACAACAAAGTAGGTTTTGGTAGGTTATAGTAGAAGCCAAAAACTTGGAAATCCAATAGCCTCAATCCTTAAGAGTAATGTATAGGGAATCCCAGCACTATTCGGCCTTAATCCGGTGTCCAGCTTTGTGGGGTTTACTGTAAGGGTCGTTTGACCTGGAGTTTCCGAAAATTCTTTTTTGTAGGTTCCATATTAGGGTTTGAATTTATAGGGACCCTACAAAAAATTAGGTTTTGGTAGGTTTAGGTAACAAGAACCCAGCAACTGCCAGGGCGGTGCGCTTGAAGACGAAGGAGGAGCCGCCGAACATGCTATCTCGGACCTCCTCCTCGGTGAGTCGCTGGAGGTCCGGCACGAAGGTAGACTTCCTTAAAGGGTCCCTTAAGTGGGCTCCTTTAAGGGGTCCTGATGCTTTCTGCTAAGGGATAAAAAAACTGAAGTTACCAGAATTTAGGGGCTTTCGGGGTTTAGGGTTGGGGGGTTAAGGGATTTAATTGAAGCTACGATAATTCAGGGTTCCTTTAAGGGTTCTTGAAGGGTTTAGGGGTTATTGGATTTAACTTTAGATACCATAACAAGGAAACCATGTTATTTACCATAGATCCCTGTTATGGTAACTTAAACTGAACTCCTTAACAAGAACCCAGCTTCTGTTGCTGGAACACTTGGCCAACAAGGCCCTCGCCTGGGTTCTTGTGAAAGGAACTAAAGTTAAGTCGGCATAACAAGGAAACCATAATGCTTAGGGCTTAAGGTTTAGGGTTTAGCGGTTTACTATATATCCCCATTCTGGTAATGTAAACTAAAATCCTTAACAAGAACCCCGTCACCAGGCTGGAAAGTGTACTTGGTAGACTCGGTGGTGAAAAGGCGTTTGAGACCAGCCCGGGCTGCATACTCGATGCGCCAAGAAGGGTTGTAGACCTCTTTTGCCACAAGAACGCCATCGGCAAGCTGCCATTCGATGCCATAGCAAGCATGCTTGCCACTCTCCACAATCGAGCTCAGCTGGGACACCGCGGCCATCTTGGTAACCCTTCCTCCTCTACTTTCGAGCCTTCTGTAACAAAAAAGCTGCGGACACGCTGGTCGACTGCCCAGTGCCGGGCTTCATGGGACAAGTTACTAAAGGCTTCCGCCCGAACGAAAAATCAACACTGAGGGGCCCTTATTGACTAGAGAGAGTAGAAATCCGGTTAGGGCTTCTTTAAAGGGTTCCTGTGCTGTTTTTTATACGGGTTTCTCTATGGGTTCAGTTAAAAGGGGCCTTAATGGTTGGTGCATTTTCGTGTATATAGTTGCACAAGGGCTAGAAAGGAATACCATTGCCAATTATTCCGACTTATTCCGACCCCTGAATTAAACCATGGGTCTGAAGCTGGAGATGAACAGGAGTGGAGTATTTCAAGCATGAGCCATGCCCACACATGCCAAAGCCTTTCTTCAAAGCCTGAAACCCTAAACCCTAAGCCCTAAAGCCCCAAAACCCTAAACCCTAAGCCCTAAAGCCTCAAAACCCTAAACCCTAAGCCCTAAAGCCCCAAAACCCTAAACCCTAAGCCCTAAAGCCCAACGGATTCAACCCCCAGACTTCTGAACCCGAGACGCCTTGTAGAAGCCCTCATGGCATCCCTCGCAGTCGCTAGAATAATGTAGGGGGAAGAAGGTTTTGGGCTCCTTTATAAGTATCATTAAATCTGAAAAGTAAGATTGGCAAGGGGATAAGGGGTTTAGGGTCTATATACTATAGGGTATAGGGTTGATGTAATTTCAGCCTCTGTATTCAAAGAAGCCCTTCGATCTCCCCCACCTTCATTGTGACTGGTCTTGTTGCTGGTGCAGACTCTGCCGCTGCCTGCAATCACTCTGAGGTTCCCTTGACATCGACTCTTGACAGTTGTCCCTAAACCCTAAACCCTGAAGTGCAACAACCATTAACCAATCCCTTCCTAAGACGTCGTGCCAGTGAACACCTCTACCGCGTTCGACGCTTGTAGTTGCTGCTCTTGTTTGCATGAGCTGTCCTGAGTACTTGCCGCTGCTTCCTGACGCTATAGGTGTCTTTCTCAAGTGTACGATTTGGGAGTTTCCGAAAATAGGGGACCCTAATGAAGCACCCCAAATTGTAGGATCCTTAATATAAGGACCCCAACATAAGGTACCCGTGATGTCGGAAACTCCCATTTCTGGCGCTGCGAGTTGATAGTCGACACGGAGGCTGACACCCTACAGGCCATTGCAAAACCCTTCTGAAATCATAATATGAAGTGCATGTCAAAAGGCTCTGAAACCCCACCCAAAACTCTAAACCCGAAATCCCAAACCCTCCTAAGAAACCTGAGAAACTCCCAATGAACCTTTAAGACTGTACATCTGAACCAAAATAGCCACAAAGAAAACCCAATCACCGTGAATTCCGAACTCTAATACCCGAGAAAGCCTAGACATCGCAATCTCTGAACCCTAACATGACATATCTAGGATACCCAGCAACCTAAGAATAAAAAGGCCTCTCTTTTTGGTATTGGGTATCTTTATAAGGAACCTAGGACTACAAAAAGGGAATAAGGGTACTACTGGGCATCCTAGGTATTGAACACATACAGACCGTGCGTCTTCGACCTCTACAACCTCAAACCCTACACCCTAGACCCTAGACCTTCAACCCTAAAACCTAAAACTCTAAACCCTATAGAGACTGCCTTAAAAGGACCCCTTACAAGGATCCCTTTAAAGGAGCCCTGGAACCCTAGACCCTAAAAGCCCCCCAGAGACTCCAATATCCCTTAATTAAGGAATATTCCTTAAATCATATTAGGGATCCTACTATAATTTAGGGAATATTCCTTAATCAAGGGATATTGGAGTCTCTGGGCCTAATTTAAGACCCCCAAACAAAGAAATCGAAGCCTCGGCTTCTGGACGCCGGCGCTTCGCTGGGGGGCCTCCCATGGGAGCTTCGGAAAGCTGCTGAGAGGATCATGGGACTTAGTTACTGGTCCCTTAAAGGGCTCCTTAAAGGGATCTATAGGGTTCCTTAAAGGGATCTATGGGGTTCCTTAAAGGGATCTATGGGGTTTAGGGTTTAGGGTCTACTTGGAGGATCATGGGACTTGGTAAGTAAGGTTTAGGGTTCCTGTTAATAAGGGTACTATAGGGTTCTATAATAGGGTTCCTTAAAGGGATCTATAGGGGTCTCTATAACGGGGATCATGGGACTTAGTAAGTAAGGTTATAAGTACCTTAATTGGGGTTAAAAGTTAAAGTAGCTATAAATATAGTTACTCTAATTATACTTTTACTTTAAGTGCGGCAGAGGTCGGGCTTTTTGGGTTTTGGGGTTTAGGTTTTAGAGTTTTGCGTTTTGGGGGTCTGGGGTTTAGGGTTAGGGCTTAGGGATTTGGGGTTTGGGGGTCTGGAGTTTTGGGGTCGAGGCTCTGGGTTTGGGGCTTTGGAAGTTAAGGTTTGGGGCTTGGGGTCGAGGGTCTGGTTTGGGGTTGAGGGTTTGGGTGTGGGGTTTGGGCTTTAAGGTTTCATGGTTTGGGGTTGAGGATTTACTTTGGGGTTTAGGGTTCTCTTTGGTGATCAGGGTTCAGGCCGGTCCAAGTACGTACCTGATTACCATATCTTCTCCAAAATAGTAACCTACATAACTACTATCCGAAACCTAAGTACCTAATTATTGGGTCCTTTGGACCCTTAGGGTTTGCGTTCAGAACACGGAATCGACGCACAAGGGCGATCGCAACCATCGTGAGCGTTTAAGGCGGCACCCTTCATGATGAGACCGGGTGGGATCCCTTAAAGGGTCTCTTATACCCATAATAGAGCCATAATATACCCACTATATAGCCCATTATATGATAGGGGTCCCATTAAGGGTCTCTGTGAGGGTTAGGACGACATGGGTTCACGGTTCACCGTGTAGGGTTGTAGGATGCTGTAGAGCTACGATGGGTTCAGGGGTTCAAGTGCGGGGCTCAGGGTTTAAAGGTTCAAGGTTGTAGGCAGTTTAGGACTTAAGACTTAGAAGTCCGACTTTGCTGCATGAACCATGGTGATGTTCAGGTTCAAGGTTACCAACAAAGGGTCCAGAGTACACAAACTCTGAATAGTGTCTGTTACGTGAAGTCCTGCTATTTCGGCACTTGGAATCTCAAACGACCTCATTAGCGCACTTCCAGGTCCTAACTAACACCCTGAACTCGAAACCGTATGCATATACATATTATGTATGCTACAAAACTACAGCCCCGTTTAAGGGTCCAAGTACCCAATCATCATAGACTCTCCCAACAATTTACCTACATAGCTACTGAGCTACTGTCCTAAACCCAAGTACCTGATTATTGGGTCCTTTGCAATCTTGGGGTAAGTTTGAACCCCAAAACCCTAAACTTTCTTTAACCCTAAACCCTGAACCCTCCTCACCTTCGGCGATGTCTTGTGCCGGACGGCGAACGCCCTGGGCACCTCCGGGTCAACGTATGGGAGTTTCCGAAAATCAGGGATACCTTTAAAGGGATCTTTTAAGGGTTCCTTAAAGGGATCTATAAGGGTTCTGTAAAGGGCTTAGGGTTTAGAGTTTCCCAAAATCAGGCATACCATATTTTGGTGTCCGTGTTACAAGGATCGTACTATTTAGGATACTATATTAGAGTGCCTTTTCGGAAACTCCCATATCACGAAAAGACCCAGGAGACTCCACAACCCCGTAATAAATTAAGGAATATACCTCAGGGTTCCTTAAAGGTTTCCTTACAGGGGGCCCATAAGGGGTCTGTATTATAAGGGAATTAAGGAACCCGTAAATTATAGTGGGACCCCCAATATGGGATAACGCACCAAAATGACAAAGACCACAAGCGCACAACCACGCAAGTATTTTGGGTTGTAGATTGCAGGCAAAGGGGGTTGCTTGGAGGGTCGGGGGACTTAGTAAGTAGGTAGTAAGTAGACTTATAAGTACCCTAAAAGGGACCCTAATTGGGGTTATGGTACTTATAAGTCCCCAAAATAAGCAGTTACTAAGTCCCCCGACCCTCCAAGTGGGGTTGCTTGAGGAAGTTTCAAGAGTCTGGATTTTATGTTCCGAGACGGCTCAGGGACTTGGAGGGCGTTGCGAACGTTTGCGGTAGCCTTAGGGCTGGGATATCCTAGCATACCGTTTCTCTTTGACATGGCTTATGAGGCTTAGAGTTCGGGCTTTAGGATGAAGGATTAGAGCTATGGGGTCGAGGGGGACATCCACAAGGCGCAGATGTTGGGGTTTGGGGATTTGAAGAGCACGAGGCTTACAGAGGTGATCTGGTTTACTTTCATGGTACGGTACGCACATACATTTCGAGGAAGTAGACGGGAAGCTCTACTCATCAATGCAAGCTGGGCAAACAGGCGGATTCTAGAGGTTTGGGAGTTTCCGAAATTTTGGGGTACCTCATCTTGGGGTCCTTATAATGAGCATCCTACGATTTAGGGTACGAGATCAAGTTCCCCAAATTTCGGAAACCCCCGTTCAGTATTTAGGCTGTTGGGTTTACCTAGACCCCCCAACTACCCTCTATTATACCCTATTAAGGGCCATAAGGGCTCTATTAAAGGGTCCTTGGGGGGTCCTGGTAGTGTTCGGGCGTGTCGTGTTCCAGGCCCTATGGATGTTGCGGCCATGAATGGTGAGCCAACGCAAGCCTGTGGCTTGCCCAAAGGCTCCATGTACCCATATAGTAGCCTAAGTAAAGTTATAAGTTATAAGTACTCTAAATGGACTTATCCCAATGATAACCCTACGTATAAATGGCTTACTACTGTTGATGGACAAACTCCTGCATGACCCTAAGGACTTTAAACTATGGGGACTATGGTATATTCCTTATAATGGGTTTTGTCCATCAACAGTAGGCAAAAAACCTGCGGTCTCCATGACAACCAACACGATCCAAGAGGGTTGATATATGGGGGTTTCCGAAGATTAGGGATACCTATTTTGGGTCCTTAATAATGTCATGCCCTCCTGCTTTCTCGAGCAT